CTTGAGCTCATTTTGTAGCCCAGGCTGGCCTTGAACTCACAATGATTCTCCTGCCTCAGCCTCCCGAGTGCTGGGACTACAGGCGTGCGCCACCACGCCCAGCTAGTGCTGGGAAATTTGTTTTGCCTTACCCTCACATATTCTTTTCTTGCTTTTATTTTTTGTACAAGTACCTTCAGCTGTACCAGTATCTACAGCTCTTGTTTTGATTTTTTTTTTTTTACATTTTTAGACTCGGCCTTGCTAACTTGTTAAACTGCCCTGGGCCGGAACTTGCGGTCCTCCCACTGAAGCTTCCTTCACAGGATCACGGTCGTGCGCTTCCACGGCCAGCTCCTTGCACATTCTTTGACCGTTTCACAGAATAAATTGACAGAAGGGAAATTAGCAGGAGCAAACCTATTTTAATTATATGTGCACACACAGACATTCCACAAAAAGATGAGACTCGGGGCTGGGGCTCGGTGGTAGAGTTCTTGCATTGTATGCACAAAGCCCTGGGTTCGATCCCCAGCACCGCCCTGCAGATATGAGACTCAAAGAAGCAGCCAGATGGTCGAGGCTTATGTATCATTCTCAGCTTCAGAAGGGGATGGGGATGTGGGATATGCTACTCCGGGAGGTGGAGGAGACAAATGATGGGCTGGTGAGAGGAGGAAGTGTATGGTGAACGAAAGTTGCGTTGTAATGTCGGGTGATGAAAGCTGCATCAGAATAGCTCTCTTCCCGCCACAGATGCCTTTATTAGTACAAATTGCTTTTATGGGTGTAAACTGCCAGCGAGTGCCAAGTGGCTGTAGTCCTGGCTACTTGAAAGCTGAGGCGGGAAGATCGCTTGAGCCCAGGCATCCAAAGCCAGCCTGAGCAACACAGCAAGACTACGTCTCAAAAGCGAGATAAAATAAATATAAATTTGCTTTATAAAAACATAACCTTTCAGAGTTCCTGCATCTGTAATTTTTCCAAATAATCAGTTTTGGGGGCAAATTCTGGTCTCCACAGTCATATTTGAGTGTATATTACTCAGCTGTCCCTTTGTTGGACAAAATACCTGACCTCTGGCCCCTTAAAGGAGAAGAGGGTTATTCTGGCTGGCAGTTTCGGGGGTGTCTTGGCTCCAACGCAAAAGCGTGGTGGAGGCGTGAAAGTCCCGGGTAAAGCTGCTTAGCTCGCGGCAGCCAGGACGCACAGCACAGGGGAGGAGCTGTCCCCCAGGCACCCCGGTGACCTAGCTCCCTGTACCCGCTTCCTAGCAGCACATCCAGCTATCAACACCAGTCAGTCAGTCCCTTGCAAGAATCGCTTAACCCAGTCAAGCTGACAAGCTTAACTGTCACACAAGGTGACATGTCTGGAACCCCATCAGCGTTTGTTAAATAAAAGGTACCCAAACATGTACCTATGAGGTACATAAGAATGATTCTCAGGCCTGGCATGGCGGTGCACACCTGCAATCCTAGCACTTAGGAGGCGGAGGCAAGAGGATCGCCATGAGTTCAAGGCCCACCTGGGCTACATAGTGAGTTCAAGGCCAGCCTGGATTATAGAGTCAGACCTTGTCTCAGAAAAATATGGTTCTCGTTGTATATTTAAGGAAACAGGCTTTGGGATAGTCTAAATAATTTGCCAGAGTTACCCAGTTTTGTACCTTGTGCATTCTAACTATGATGCTAAAGGTTGAATTCTTTAACCAGTTGTGACAATTCGTCCTAATTTTTCAACTTCCTTGGGTTCAGAAACACTTCGTAGGTGAGCAGAGCATTCAACTGGGTGTATCTGGGTGGGTCATGGAGGCATGTTCTTGGAAACGCTATATGGTGTCTGGGAGATTCCTCACCCACACTGCGCCTCTGTCTGCTCTCTGGCTGCCAGGAGGGGAGCAGCTTTCCTCTGCCACGCCCTTCCGCCGTGCTACTTCTTCCTCACAGCCAGCAGCCCATGGACTGAATCG